ACGGCCCCTCAGAGGCACTGCGGGGATACAGGCTCCCAGCTTTTGTGCTCCAGACCAGCTCCAAGCAGTGGCTCAGGACAGCAATACATCTGGGGATGCCACTGATGGGGATATGGGTTCGAATGATCCAGCTCGGCTGTAGCTTTTGGGGGGGCCAATTGTGATCTCTGTGCCTGGCCTACCTTACAGGGTGGTTGTGACGATAAAGTAGCAGGGAAAGAACCATGCACACCAGGCAGAGCTCCTCGGGGGAAAGGCAAGCTTAAAAATCAGCATGGAAATAAATAACCCCCATGGTGAGTTTTTGCCTCCTCCTCCTCCTGCTGCTGCTGCAACCTTTCGGCTGGACCTTCAAGCATTGATCTGCAAAATGGGCTTCTTTCTCTCCGGAGTGAACATTTTCGGCTGGACCTTCAAGCATTGATTTGCAAAATGGGCTTCTTTCTCTCCGGAGTGTTTCTTCCTGTGAAATCAGTTTCTCTTCTGAGGATGCCCCTCATGCCACTCGCCTAAGCCTGTTTTCTTGTGGGGGAAAAAAATCTTTCCAGCAGGATGGTTGAGTCTCAAATGGCATCCGTACGTTTCTGGAGCCAGAAAAATGGACCCAGACTAATTACATCTCTGCTGTCACTCTCTTTGTGTGGCTGAGCTTGTATGAAAAATGGTGCAGCAGCTGCTGGGAGGAAGAGATGGGGAGGAAATGAATCTATTCAAGGAAACATGCCTCTCCCCCCCCCTCATAAAAGCTAGAGTCGCCCAATTAGCTCCCTATCGCATTTCCTGTTCAAGGAAAGTGGAAACAGAAGTCCCTTTTCAATGGAGATTTTGCTTGTTCTTGCTACCTTGTTTATCAACCTCAGTTCATTAGGTGGTCCCTGGGAGGCTAGGAGAGAAGGTTGCTCCTGATTTGCCATGAGGGGCACCTTTCTGACCTCAGCACCAGCAAATGCCAGGCAAAGCAATGCATGTCCTTGCAAAGGGAAGAGTCTGGATTTAAACCGGCCTGTTCTCTGGCTCAAATCTTTCCAGGCAGGTACCTAGGAAAGCTGTGTCGTTTGGGTGCATCCGTGGAACTGCCTTTTGCTATGCCTGGTTCTCATATATTCTGGAGTTGAGCTTCGGCTCAAAATAAGCTCTGTGAGGGAGAGTATCCGCTCTGGGGTGGCAAGGTGACATTGACACCAGGGCCAGGGAATATGGAGAGGAGAAAAGCGCAGAGGGGAGGGACATGGACCCAAAGACTCCTGGAGGGCTTCCACTTGCTGTGTTGGAGAGGCTGTGCAGCCACATATTGCACCATGTCTGTCACTCAATGGGAGCTGTTAGCCATGCTTTGCGAAGCGCGGACCCAAAGACTCCTGGAGGGCTTCCCCTTGCTGTGTTGGAGAGGCTGTGCAGCCAGCATATTGCACCATGTCTGTCACTCGATGGGAGCTGTTAGCCATGCTTTGCGAAGCATGACAAGAGAGGGAGGGGTATGTTTAGAAGCTCCCCCAATTGTGACATGAGGTGTTACAAGGTTAAATCTGGAAGAGCTAATGCTCCTCATGATACTCCGTGTAGCCACACTCCCTTAGACAATCCCAAAAATGCCAGTATCAGCGAGAATCGGGTCTTTTGTAAAGCTAATGATGCCCAATGGACCATTTGTGACAAAACTACCTTTCCAGTTTAAAAAAAAAAGAGAAAGGAAATCCACTTTTTAACATGGAAATATTTGAGGACGGGGATTGCAAGAGGGCATGCAGCTCCTTAAAGTCCATATTGCAGAGATGTCCCCCCCTCCCCCATAACTCTGGAGGTTACCCAACCATGATTTTTTTTTAACAGCTGGGCTAAGAACCTGAATTGTGTTCTTCTCCAGCCTGGGCAGCTAGGGGGGCAGCTGGGCTCTGCCCTTCACTTTCTGCTGCAACCCCTGGCAGCCTTCTTCTCCAGGTTAAAAAAAAAAGATGCAGCATGCAAGCAAAAACGGTGTCCTCTGGCTGTTTCTGTACCTATGGCAGAGAGCCCTGCCCGCTCGCCCTGTTCCCAGCCACGTAGGCGTTCTGGTTTGCTAATGCAAGAGGGGAGAAGCCCTCTTCCCCCTTTGCCCAGGGCAGCATGGGGGCAGAGCCCTCTTGACCTTTGCCCCCTGCTTCCTTCCAGTGAGGAGACGAAGACGAAGACCACCCCACCATGGGAAAGCAGAACAGCAAACTGCGGCCGGAGATGCTGCAGGACCTGCGGGAGAACACCGAGTTCTCGGACCTGGAGCTCCAAGAGTGGTACAAAGGCTTCCTCAAGGACTGCCCCAGCGGCATCCTCAACGTGGAGGAGTTCAAGAAGATCTACGCCAACTTCTTCCCCTACGGCGACGCCTCCAAATTCGCCGAGCACGTCTTCCGCACTTTCGACACCAACGGCGACGGGACCATCGACTTCCGAGAGTTCATCATCGCCCTGAGCGTCACCTCGCGGGGAAAGCTGGAGCAGAAGCTGATGTGGGCCTTCAGCATGTACGACCTGGACGGCAACGGGTACATCAGCCGCGAGGAGATGCTGGAAATTGTGCAGGTAATAACCGAGCCGGAGGGGGGGGGCGCCACTCTGGTGCGAGCCAAGCTCTGATTCCTTTTTTTTTTAAAAAAATGTTTTTGTAAAATTTATTTTTTATAAACATAAAATACACAAACCAAAGTACAATTTAACTGTGTTCCCCACCACCAGGCGGGACCTCTTGCAATAATCTTCTTCTTCCTCCATCTATATTCTTCTTCCTCTTTTATTGTCCTCTTCTCCAGAACTGCATTGATTCTTGATCTGGAGCTTTCCCTTTTCCTTCAAAACGCATATTCCAAAAATCTGCCCCATATTTCATAAAAATTATTATTTTTCAACTGCTGCGATTCTTGCCGTTTCCTCATGTTTTCTGGGGAGGCCTTTTCCGGAACGCCTGGTCTTCGAGAGGCACCCGTTTCCCACATTTTAAATCAGAGCCATCATCTGCTCTAAAGTCCAGGGAGGTTGACTGTTCAGTAGCTGGACAGCAAGGTAATCTGGTGCAGTGGTTAAAGAGCTGCTTCAGGGTTATGGCGGAAGTCAGCTTCAAGTCCCCCTTCCTTAGCCTCACCCTACCTTGGAAGGCTGCTGAGAGGACAGAATGGAGGACGGGGACAACCGAGGCTGTGGGGACTCCCTAGAGAAAGAGTGGGGTGAAAATGTCAGAAGAGCCTTATCCTCTCTGAAGCACTGTAGGTTCAGTCCCAGGCATCTCCAGTTAATGAGCTTGATGGCTTAATAAAATCTCAGAGAGTGCAGCTGAGCCAGAGACCTTGGAAAGCTTTGAGGAAATGGAGTTGAGAATGCTGAGCTAGGTGGATCACCATGAGACACATCAGGCAGCCTCTGGATCATGCAGAGGTGCGGTATCTGGATGATGCAAACATATAATGTGCAGTTTATTTTATTTTATTTATATCCTGCATTTCTCCCAATGCAGGGTCCTAGGGCAGCTTAGAAAATGATTAGAAATAGACATTTAAAAACAATGTAAGAGTTCTTATTAAAATGTAATTCAAGGTGTTGTTCTAAAATTGTCACTAAAATCGAACTAAATAAAACTGCATCATAGAAAGACCTTCCTCTCCAGTTTCTACAAGCCTGGCTGACTTGACAGGAGAGTGGAATAGATTTAATGTTTTCCTTTTTCATTCCCTAATGCAGTTAACAAACAAGAACCAAAATAAATTGGAGGCAAAAATAATAAACAGGTTAGCTTTGGCTATTAAAACCGCTTCCCCACCAATGAAAATTAGTTTCTACCGATTAATTACGGAAAGCTATTGCTGGTTAATGTGCTGATTAAACCGATTAAAGCTTGCAGCCCTAATTACAGAGTGGAGAAAATCCACTCTGGAAAGGGGAACTCATCTTAAATGTGTGCCATTAGTAGCAGCGACTTTAATCTGCCGATTAAAATGATTAAAGCTTGCAGTTTTAAGAGAGGTACATCTATAGCTCTGTGTCCATTAAAGCTGCCTACAAGGCTACTGGTCGGGAAACGAATTCCTCTGGAGAGTCGAGGGGCTGGCTGCCAAATTAGATCAGGCAAAAGAAATAGCAAAATTAAAAATAAATAAATAAAGAAGAAAAACATGGTGTGGCACCTTAAAGACTTTCTGCAATATTTTAATGTGAGCTTTGGTGGCTCAAGTCCGCTTCCACGCCTAAGCTGGAAAAGGAGCCTCGAGCGATATGCAGAGACAGGCCCGGGGGTGGGCGGATGGGGGGCTTTTCTTCCCAGGTGCTTCTCTATGAAGGGCTCCTAATGCACAGGGCAAAAACATCCTGCCACTTCCCTGTGGAGCCTGTATTTTCCTCTTGAGGAGATTGTTTTTCGGCTAGGAGGGGGAAAAAAGGAGAGGCAGATGAGGACTGGCAGAGGCTGGCTAGAGTCAAAAGAGAAAGCCTCAGTCTGGGAGCTCACAGAGAGAGGGGGGGGTCTGGCTTCTTTGCCACTCTGCATTGGCATGCCTCATTTTTTATTCTCTCCCTCCGTCCTTCCCGAAGCATCAGGGCTCCAGATGGACGGGACGAGGGCCCTGTGTTTCATGGTGATCTGATGGGTAAAAAAGGGGGATAGAGGAGCAAAGGAGGCACACGCTACGAGGTGGGTCCTCCCCTTGGAGGCTCTAGACCCCTGGCTGCCCATGGGACTGGGGTGGGCTGTGGGGAGTCGGCATAAGATGGAGGAGGGGATGGGAAACAGATGCTCGGCGGCTGATTCATTTCTTTCCCACAACAAGACCAAATGAGACACGAACCTTTGCTCCCGACCAGCATCTGCAAGGCCAATGAAGCCCTTGATAAATGCTTCGGAAGCGACATTAAGCCCTCGAACTAATGAACTAATCATTCCTGCTGTTTGCAAAGGCTTTATGGCTTTTCCTTGGGAGATCCTTGTTATGGCTCTACAAAAAACAGTATCCCCTTCCTTTTCATCTCCTTGGGCTCCCCCGTTTGGCTTTCTCAGTATCAGCATCCTTTCACCCCGTTCTTCTTCTTTTGCCCCTGAGGAAATCCACGTGCCCCCTCAAGGGGGCCATGGGGCACTTTTGCCATGTTTTGAGGGCAAAATTGCCTCTGTTTTAAAAAATAAAGTTTAAATTTGGCCACGGCAGGGTATGTAGAAAGCAAGGTTCTCAAATTATTTTTTTTTAAAAAAGATTTTTGAAAAAGTAACAACCATTTTCCAGTTAATAAAAACCCATTGTTGTGATCTTTTATTTAAAAATAATAATAAGAAAATGATCCTCCATGGCCACAGACCTCCTTCTTCAGAGTCCACCGCTCAGGCTGACAAATAAATCTGAGGAACAGCCCTCGGCTTCACTACCTCTGTTTTAGTCGATACATATGCTAGTCTTTTGACAGGCAAAGAGACTTGTGGTGCTTGAAACCTTACTTTGTTTTATTTGGCGCAAGATTTTGTGGACTTGCAAGTGATGACAGGGACTGAGATTCTGCTAAATGCCACTCATTGAGTCTTTAAGAAACCACGAGCCTTTTAAAGTTCTTTTTTAAAAAGTAGAATGCTGTTTATACCCCTTGAGTGGATGAGAGCACAGAGCCTGGAGAAAGGGCAAACACTTCACAAGGGGGCACCCAGTCTGTGGTTTAAAAAATGACAATAAATTGGCCCTCTCAGGAGATAATGCTAAGTGAAGGTCAGCAGGACCAAACCTTGCTCGGAAGAAGGTTGCAGTTTGCACGAGTTTGCCCCGTTGTCATGGTGCTCAGGCAGCCGCCTGGCAGGAAACCCACCCGAAATCATCCTCCCCATCATGGGGTGGGAGGGGGCAGCTTGGAACTAAAAAATGATGCATCATGCAAGCCTGGTGACCGACTCTCCCGGCTGCATTTTTCCAATCCCAGCTGTCAGCTTCCAAAGCTTACATTTAAATCAACAAATCAAGGAATAAATGCCTGCATTTCATACCTGCATCTCTGCACCTCATGCTTTATAGGCCCAGAAGGTCTCGGACATTCCATCAGATGCCACCTGGTGTTTTGCTCCCAAGCAGTGACAGGAGACTGAGCTTACCTGGGCAATGGGGCCAACCTGCGGAAAGAGAATCCCTCTGGATTTCCGACTGTAAATAGTGGTGTAGAGGGGCCCACCCTACAATTGACCTCGAATGCCCCTCTGTCTGGTGGGAGGGTCCTTTGGAAACGGGACCTGTCCTCGGGATGTGTCACCCTTGATCCGAGTGGCATCTGGGTCAAGCCGCCTGCTTCTTTTGAGAGACCAGGCGGGGTCCCTTTCGAATGCAAAAGGTAGTGCAAAATTACTAAAAGGTGGTTGTGAATCGTTATCGGGGAGTGAGGGTTAGGAAAGACGAGGAACTGTCTTAACTGGGTCTGAGATATTTATAAATTGACATTCCAGACTGCCCTTGGCAGAGAGAAATGAGAACACCTGGGGGGAGTGGCTTTTTTTAGACCGGTGAGCTAAAGCTGAGGGTGTCCCGGGATCCTTTGGTGTTAACGATGAAAGGTCGGCCAGAGCCGAAGAAGGTGTGACACCTTTTGAGGGGGATCACCCCGATTTGGAAAGTTTCCAGCATTTGGAAACTTGCAGAAGGAAATGTGCAAATCTCTCTCTCTCTGTGGGTGTGTGGGTGTCTGTCTCTCCTTTTGTTATCTCACGGTCAGGTTTTGGCTTTACCCTGGGCACCTGGAAAAAGTATGGTGAGCTCAGAGCTTGATTAAATAAGTAAATAAGTAAACAAACAAACAAGCAAACAAATGAGATAGATAGATAGATAGATAGATAGATAGATAGATAGATAGATAGATAGATAGATAGATAGATAGATAGATAGATAGACAGACAGACAGACAGACAGACAGACAGACAGACAGACAGACAGACAGACAGACAGACAGACAGACAGACAGACAGATAAAGGAGCTCATCTTTACGAACTATATGGCATTGTGAAAACAAAACCGGACTTTGCTTGTTGATCAAGAAGGGTGAAAAAATAGCTAGCTGGTTCAGACCCTGCCTTCCTCCCTGTAGAGGGACACATGAGGTGTCTTCCAAAAATAGTTTTTTAAAAGGGTTAGATAGTCTCAGGGGAGCTCAACCCTTTTATCAGCAGTTCGGCACCATGAGAACGTACACGTTCACAGATCTGCCACACCAGATGTACAGGTTGGACAGGAAGGGAACGGCACGCCATTCCTGATCAGGCCAAGAGAACCGGCTGGCTGCAGGTGGAAACAGAAGGATGGCCTAAGAGAGAGAGATGCTTGCTTCCGTCCCACAGAATAATTCTTGTACGTATATTTTTGCTGTGGCTCTGTAGCGCCCTCTCCTGATGCTGGGCAGCATAACATACCTCCACGGGTCTGTAACGGGACCTCGCCTCCCAAATTCCTGGCCCTTTTTCCTTCTCTTTCCTTGCTTTACAAGAGTTGGCTGCTGCTTCTCTGGCTTTTGTGGCTGGTCGTTCCTGCAGGGTTCCAGCTTCCCCCAAGAAGTGGCCTTGTTCTCTTTGAAGTGCCGAGGATTATCTGCTATCTGTTTATGTTTCTTCATTGTGGTGCACACCACCCAGAGCGCCATTGGTCAGATGGCTGGTTTAGACGTGCAAAAGATAGACAGATAGACAGACACATAGGAGATATCTATATCTCTATCTATTTATCTATTTATCTATTTATCTATTTATCTATTTATCTATTTATCTATCTATCTATCTATCTATCTATCTATCTATCTATCTATCTATCTATCTATCTATCTATCTATCTATCTATCTATCTATCTATCTATCTATCTATCTATCTATCTATCTATCTATCTTCTAGAGAGAGAGACTGAACACAGTGTGCATGTTGAGAAGCAGCTATTTCTGAAGGCGAGTGAAATGAGCGACTGTAAGTTGAAGGCTCTTTTCCGTTTGCCATTATATTTTATTTCCTCTACCCCAACTGGGAAAGCTGTCCTCAGTGTTTTGAATGTTAATTACCAGTTTCTTCAGCCAGGCAAAGCACACGGTCTTCAGGGAAATGACAGGCTAGTATTTTTTTAAAATGCTAATTTTGTTTAATCAAGTCTGTTATCCTTGCTTCCCGAATACTAGGAGACGTAGATGGATAGATATATTTCAGTCCCCAAGCCTGTAAATGAGAGGCATGGGTAAGAGATCGTTATTGGATGCTTAGATAGACAGAGAGAAGCAGGGGTGCAGGACAGGCTCGTCATTTCTATAAACTGGTCCTAGAAAACTCTGGAGCAAAGTCCGTGAAAATATTGTGTGACATTAAAAAAAAACAACACTCTGTTGTTGATCCAAGATTGCTCCCAATGTGACTTTTCAGAAATGAGACTGTCTCCACCTGCTGGCTTAGGAGGTGAAAGATGCCACACAAAAGGAAAAAGAATTAGGAGGGAGGAGGAAAAGGGATAAAATATATATATACTTGAGCACGAAACCCTGAGGTACGAAGTTCAGCAGGTCACAGAGGTGGGTTTAAGCACTAGGAAAGACATGCAGCTTCTGCCTCATCTATGGGCCGCAGAAGTGGCGTTTGGTAGGTGGAGAGCAAGGAGCTTTCCTTCCTCCTCGTATCAAGAGGCGAACAGATGGTGCGTCTAAGTTTCCATCATGATCCACACCAGACATTTTATGGGTTTGTGAGACTCTTCGTCTCCTCTGTCTGTGCCATCTTTGTTGAGAGAGAGAGAGAGAGAATGAGATGCGCCCCCTGTTGCCTGGGATGAGGTGAGGACAAAAGCATCTTAGCATCTTTCTCAAGGGCAGGAAGTCAACTGAGAAGAGGCATGTTTGGTACCCTCAGGAGCCAAGTTGAGATGGAGCTGCCCAGGGTTCGTTGGCTGTGGGGCAGAGGCAGGATTTGGACCCGAACCCCCCCCCCCCCCGTAGGGTTGGCTAGACCCACAAGGAACATCCCTCAGACCCTGGATGAGCCTGCTGGAACATCAGGGCTGGGTCGGCGTCTCAACCTGTTCTCGGTGCCTTCTCTTTCTTCCAGGCCATCTACAAAATGGTCTCCTCGGTGATGAAGATGCCAGAGGATGAGTCAACTCCCGAGAAGCGGACGGAAAAAATCTTCCGGCAGATGGATACCAATAACGATGGTAAATGAGGAGGGAGAGAATGAGGAAGAGCGAGATTAGGACGCGGCCTCATCACTAAATCCAGGGCTCTGAGATAGAACAGCAAGTGTCCTGATTAAATTCATGGGAAGGGGAAGGGGTTGGGTCAAAGCGGTGGGTTTTTGGAGTTTTGTTGTTGTTGTGGGGGGATGACTTATACAATGGTCCTGCAAAGTGGGAGTGCAGGGGGTGGGGGAGGCGATGGGGTGCCCCCTCATTGTGGTAAAAAGAACACGCATCCTTTGGTCTTACCGGGAGCCAGCCTGTAGGCCCCTGTTTCCTTGTATCAACAGGAAGGTTGGCTGTGTTGCCCTCACGGTGATGACGAAGTGCGTGGATGGACACAAAGCGACCTTGAGCATCACCTTCAAGGTCACACATCTCTGTATGGCCTGACCTAGGGTACTTTCAGGAAAATTGAAACAGCTGTGAAAACTACTGAACCCCTTTGGGTGTACAAGGTAACGCTCTCCAGATGTTCCCACATTAGATGCGGTCATCTCTGGATACGGACTTGATAACCCAGTGAGGGCAACTTACAGCCTTCCAGGTGTTGCTGGACTGCACTCCCCAGTGTTCTTCACTATACGTTTATCTGGCTGGGGTTGATGGGTGTTGTAGTTCTACTATATCGGGATGGCAACTTCAGCCTGTAGCCTCCCCAGCATTTTCCTTTTGCCTCTTCTTCCTTTGTTTTCCTTTTTTAACCAGGGAAAACCCATTAAGCAAAAAGAAGGGTGGCACAGTTTCTTTAAACTATGAGCAGTTTGAGGCTCCTCTCAAGGAAGCACTTGTGGTTTAAGCAAGCACACCTCTCACGGGACATTTTCAGCCTGCAAAAGAAGGATGAGGTGGCTGCGTTCGTGATACCGAGGAATGCTCTATGATGTGATCAATGTGCGATGCACAATTTTTTTTAAACCTCGTTCAGTGAACAAAGAGATCAAATGCATTTAGCATAGCCCTTCTAGGAACTGCAGAACCTGGGAGAAAAAAAGCCGCTTCTCATTTCCGTGGAAACAAAAGACACGTCAGTAGATGATGTGACCGCTGCACTGCTGTGAAAGGAATACAGATTATGAAGGATACAAATCACAGTCCAAGACAGGCGAGGATGATCCCTCAGAGCAACTTTCCCATTTCATGATCGGCTGGAAGAAAAATGAAATCACTTGGAGATATTTGCTCCGAGTTATTTCATATATAATTATTTTTTAAAAAGATCTTAGTCTTTTAAAGGGATTTCAATGCATGTTCCCCTTCCCATTTTCCCTATCTACAATGATGAAGAGTTCTGCAGCACCCAAAAGCTTGCCTATTTTTAAAAAGTCACCATTGATCAGAAAGATTGTCCCCTTGTGAATTTTGTAAGAGGAGGAGGACGGAGGACTGGATTTATTATGAAACAAGCCAAGTTTGTCAGTGGGAACAGATGAAATGAGGATGGCTCAGAGGCCTAGAGATACATGTGTGCTGCATATCTAGTATCTTAGAAGACAAAACTATCACCTCACTTGAGCTGTGATTCCTTACGAAGGGCAAGAAAAACCTGCAAAGGTCTCCTGCCTCCAAAGGCCTCTTGAGCTAAAAGCTGCACATGCTGAGGCTCAGGCACAGATCTGGCTGCAAGCAAACAAGGGTCATAAAAACAGTGCTGTATCTGAACATGCGGGTGGTCTGGACAAGATTACCATTTGTGACATGCAGGTACGAAGAAAATGCGACAGAGCGAGATGGACCTGTTTCGAAACCATCTGAAATGCCTCTCAGCCTGGGGTGGGGATGTCATCCGGCTGCCTGGACCTCTTGCTTCCCAGGCGTCATATGTTCCTTATGCAATGACACAGAGATGTGGCCGTTGAGGGAAGCTTGTGTTTTCATATCGTTGCACGCAATTGTTTGCATAGAACTCACCCTCCGCTGGGTAGCGACATGCCATTGACAACTGGCGCGAGGAGCCTTGAGCCAGGATCTGGCCCACCTGAGTCCCCAATCTGGAGCCCATTTTTCCCCAGACGACCCCAAACTCTCGTGTCCGTGACACTTTGGTGGTTCCATAGTATTTTGCATGTTCTTCTTCTCCATTTCTGAAATCCTCAAATTCATCTTCTTGTGGCAGGCAGTGAGAACTTTTAAGCTAAAATACATGGGCATGGTTGGGTCCCAGGCTGTTCTTGCAGTCCCTGGAATGTGACCCTGAAAAAATATCCTTGACATCAAACTGAATCCTGGGACTGGAAAAGGTTTCCCTCACCTTCGATCTGCAGAATGTCCCCCCCCTTTTTTTTATTGCGAGCCTTCTTCAAGCTCTCTGCCTCTAACCCTCTTTGCAGTCACTGTTGTAAAGAAAAAGCCAAGGAGGACCTTCTACCCATCAAATTATACACAATGGATTGACTCCCAAATCAGAAATAGGTTTGAACTGTGCAAGTTGTGTGGGGTGGTTCGAGTGCTTTTATCACCTGAAAACTGTGATATTTGCCATCATTTCTGGTGGCGTCGTCTCTTGATTCTTTACAGCCAGGAGAGGCTGGGTTTTTGCTCTACCCTGTGGGGCAAACGGGCTCCAGGGAGAAGTTAGAACTTTAAAGGAGCTGTCCGGGGTGCTGAACTTTTCTCCCACAAAGAGGTCCTGCCATTCCCTAGACATCAGCAATAGATTCTGTGCCCCACAGATATCAGAGCTATGGGTCTGTGCTGGCTGAGTACTGTCCCTGGTGTAAGGATAGGCGTCCACGGAGAATATATGTTTAGTAGAACAACTTGTTACGGTCATTTGGAAACACAAGATGTCGGAATTGGTTAAATATATTCCCAATGGCATTGGTTTTCCAGCAAGGGACTGAATCAAAACTATCCAGAGGTGTGTGCGACCCTGGAAATCAACTCTGGGTGTCCTTTTTAACAATAGCCTCCAAGCACACCCTCTTTGTCGCTCTGCTGGTCAAGGAACTTGTTTGAGCAAATTTATAAATCTAAGAACACTTGGTGCTAAAATTCCCCTCCCCTTTTGCTGAAATGGAGTATCCTGAGCATTGTATTCTCGAAGGCTTTCATAGCTGGGATCTGATGGTTGTTGTGGTTTTTTCAGGCTCTTTGGCCGTGTTCTGAAGGTTGTTCTTCCTGACGTTTCGCCAGTCTCTGTGACTGGCCTCTTCAGAGGACTGGAGTAGGTACAGAGCATGGACAGAGTCCCGACTCCAGTCCACTGAAGACGCCGGCCACACAGACTGGCGAAACGTCAGGAAGAACAACCTTCAGAACACGGCCAAAGAGCCCGAAAAACCCACAACAACTATCTTGAGCGTGTTTGTTTACTCGCACGTTTTAGGCTGTCCCATGTCTAGAAAGCCCAGTATCAAACATTTTGCAAAAGTCAAAAGCAAGCACCCAAGCTGCGCTGGGTAGCCGTCTGGAAACAATCTCCTGCAAACAGGGCCGCAAAAATAGTAGAGACAACAATGTCATTCGTGTATTTTTAAAATGGTGTGCTTTTCAGCGTCATTTAAAAATCCTCAGGGAAGAGAAAAATAAAGGCAAAAGGGAGGTCAATAGAAGCAAGATCGTATCCCCTTTCCTCTTCCTCTTTTCCAGGCAAACTTTCCCTGGAGGAGTTTATCAAAGGGGCCAAGAGCGACCCGTCCATCGTGAGGCTGCTGCAGTGCGACCCCAGCAGCGCCTCCCAGTTCTGAGCACCTCCTTGGCCGACCGCGCAGCAGACGGCAGGGCGAGGCAGCCTCCCGCGATGGCACCACCACCACGACCACCACCACCACCACACGCAGCTCACCGGGGGGAGGCGGATGAACCCGCTTCCTACGGATCTCCTGCGAGAAAAACTGGATGCGTTCCCTGAAAAACAAACTATGAGCACTGCCAGTGTATTTATCTCTTCTTCTGACTCACAGGTTTTCCCCCTCTTCCTCTCCCTGAACACTGTAGTTTTGTGTGAACGTTACACCATTGCGTGGGGGGCGGGGATTGCTCGGTCGGTGTGGGTGGCCGCCGGGGTGGCCCAGAGGTGGACGACTTCCACTTCTTGGTGAGCTGAAGCTTGGTTTTGCAAAATGTCTTCCTCCCTTGCCAGCCTCTTCTGCTGTGGTGCATGTTGCTTGTGTGTGTAGCACACTCCGGTCATGACTGCATGCGTGCCGTGTGTCGTTGAGCATGAGAGGAGGAGGAGAGGTTTTCTGGAAGGCAGATCCAGTCCCCCCCCCCCAGGGGGAGCTCGGTCTTCCAGGCTCTTGGTGTGGGGTGGGAGTTGGTTGTGGGGAGGGGGGGCGAAGATAGATTTTTGGAGAGATGGGGCTGAAATTTGAGAAGGCTGGGGTGGGGGAGGGAATGGCTCGGGGAAGGGCACGGGGGGGGGGCACCGCACCATTGGCCAGCAAAATATTACATGATGCAAAAGAAGCACAACTTAGGCGGCTTTTTCAGCGTAAATGGAATAAGTCCTGCTTGCCACCCGGCTGACGAGGGCCGGTCTACTTTCCAGCATATTCAGATGCCAATAGTCCTCTCTCTCTCTCTCTCTCTCTGAAAAGAGGGAGGGCTTGACTAAGTAACCTTTAGGTGTCCCCAGATAGTCTAAAAACATTATCTAAAAGGAATGATGGGCTATAGAGTAGCAAGAGGCAGCTCTAAGGCTCCCTGGGTTCAGATCCTTCGCTGGTCTTCCAGTTTGGTGGCGGAGTTCAATCCTTTGGCACGGTGGGGTGGAGGGTGGTTACCTCCATTTTAAGCCCCCTCCCCGAAGGTTTCCTTCCTTCTTAAACATTCCAAACTTCCTCAGCCTTCAGGAGCATACATTTGCCCCCCCCCAGAGAACCCAAGTAAACCCCTTCTTTTCCTTCCCCTTAGCTGAAGGGGGGGCAGCTCTTTCTACTACCCTGTTCTTGCTCCCACCCTGCCTGGGCCTTTGGAAACAGGCAGGAAGTCTGTCCCCCCACTTCTCCTGAGCGCCTCCCTGGGGTCCCCAAGGAGGCATGGCTCCCAATCCCCGGGGGTGTGTGTGTGAGGCATCAGTCGTCAGTTCTTTAGCATCCCCAGGTTATATTGCACGGATGCTGCCTCTGTTAGCCTGGAGGTCCACCCACCCACCCCTTGACCCCAGTCAGGCAGGATCCCCCAAGCATGGACAGAAGGCTGGCCGAGGTTAGACAACGGAGCCCGTGGCCTTGCTCTGGGGACATTTAAAACCAGGGACGTGCTCCCCCCCCCTTTGTACCAGTGAATATTCAGGGATTGGGACAAACCCCCCCCCCCGGTCTCAGTGAGCAAAGAAAGACAGCTCCCTTACCGGGTTGGTTTCGGGTGGCCGGTCGGCCAGGTCTTTCCAGGGCACGAGACGAGGCACCTCCTGGGGTCTTCCCGAAGGAAAGGGAAGTGAGCAACAGCTGCGGCCACAAGGGAAGACCAAGGTCCAGCTGGCCAGGCTGGGA